TGGTGAAAAATATGTGAATTTAGGCCAGGGTTTGACTTCGTGCGGATGGGGCCTTAAGGGTGGGAGAAAATCAACCATGCTTCAAATTCAGTCGGCCGTCGTAAGTTGTTCATGAGCAAATCCTGCTGTTGAAGCAGAACTAAGAGCATCTATGAGCCGATTTACTAGAACCTCACGCACTGCACGTGTACAAACAAGGGAGTCCTCTTTCTTCTTCTTCTTCTTCCAGATTGACGAGTTGAACCAGCGCCATATCTCGGTGCTTAGTCCGAAGTCTGGTTTTCAGACGTGCAATGTGAGCAGTTAGATCGCATAAGAGTGTTGGGCCGTATAGTGTAAGAGCATACATCATGAGCTGTGAGCTTATAAATAACCAACAGTTCCAAACCTGGGGTCGGTTTCTCAAAGCAGGTTTAATCATTTATTAGACATCTGGGATCATGGATCAGATCAGAAAATATATGTGCAGATCTTTGCTTTAATTATCAGTTTCATATTAAAATAGACTAACTTGTTATGGAGCAGCCAGTGCAAACCCAAGACCTTAATCCAAATGAACACTCTTTGGCCTGACCTCAACATGCCGTTCTTAAGGCTGAAGCGAGAAATACAGAGAAACTGCAGAGTGTAGATCAATAAATCTTTAACAGAATAAACTTTGACCAAAGCAGGTTGGCTTATTGCAACAAACATGTAAACAGCTCTCAGAAAGACTGCTTACATTACTAATGTCTAGACACTGTAAAACAAAGTTCTTAAACCTTTGCATAAACAAAATGAAAACCCTGACACAAGGATTTTTTCAGTGGCATAAAATTCAATTTTCTTCATTTTCAATATTGATTTGATAAAGTTTGCTTTTGTGTTGCAAATAAAATGAGCAGAATTTCCAGTCCTTCAAGAAAATGAAAGTTTAATGGAATGTGTGCCATATTTGTCTACAAAAATGTGCACCCAACTTCTTAAGCTTAAGTTTTAAATAAAAGTTATTTTTATATGTATATCAAACTTTTTCAAACACAATTTTTATCGTTCAATGTTTGCTGTATTTTTGCACCAAATTCTATGAGGGTGTAACAGTGTTTTTCAGGGATTACATTTTCCTAAGCTACCCTTATTTCAAAAATAGAGATCAAAATTAAGGAAAAACATGATTTTTATTTTCGTTTCTGGAGTTTGAATGGATTTTTATTTTATTTTTTTTTTTGCTGGGCTTTTTCTGCTTATTTTCACAGAAAATCACAATCAATTGTAACTCTGAATCAAAGCTAATTATGGCTTCTTTTGATGGTTAAAAAAAGGTGACAAACTTTCCGAAACTTCCCATCAAGCCTAAAAGCAGGGAGCATTTGATATGCTAACGAGAAAGATTTTTCAATTGAGTGAACTATTGAAATCACAGACATCAGGCAACAGTCAGCAATCATGCTGTGAGGGAAGAGCTTCACCAAATGATTAACTCTCAAACATATGGACGCTGCTTTCCTGGAGAAATACAAAAAAGCTTTTGGTAAGCCAGCCATTAGCTAACCTGCCAAACTTCACTGGCCTTCGTTGCAACGGTTCTTTTGTTAGACGTGATTCAAATCAAATTATAGCTTTTCCTCTTTCTTTACTTTTGTTAAGTGCAACATTTCTACCTGTTTGGGTAAAATAAACCTTAGTTCTCCTTCAGCTGGAAAAAACTTCTTCCTGCAAGCTTGAAAAAAAAAAAAAAAAACAATTTCCAAGTGCCTTCTATGAGATCTAAACCGCCTCCTGCAGAAAATACTTTACTTCTTTCATAGATAACAGGCAAAGGGACCAGGGAGAGTGAGCAGAGAGGGGAAAATTGATTGGAAAGCATGAACTGGCAGGCAGCGATGGCATGAAGCAGAGGCGACTGCTCAGGGAGTCAAGAGGACAGGGCAGAATAGAGTGCCGAAGGTGAGAAAGCACTTCTAACACAGAAACCGTCATTTTTGAACTGGCTCACCATCTTTGGAGGAATCGACTATGACGCCCTTGTGTTTCCAAATGATGGAGGGCGGCGGCGAGCTAACCACATCGCAGATGATTTCAGCGCTGTCACCCTCGTTGAACTCCTGTGGACTCGCTGCATTCACGAAGGTGATCTTTTCTGTTGAGAAAGGGAGAATTTTGTTTTCAATTTAAATTATAGCAGGAAAACCCAAAACATTACTTTAAAAACAAATTCTAATGCCAAGGTTCTTAGGCTAAAGTTATTCCAAGATGCACCTTATTTTATTTTTTTAATGAACTGTTTGATATGGAGTTAAAGGTTTAGAGGAGGATGTTCTTTTTGCGGGAAAATCATCAAAATAATTGGTCCTCCTAATTGTCAATCATTCTGGGGATGTGCTTATGTATAGGCGTCCTACGTGCTCGGCCCCATTTTCACTTACCGTTGGAGAATCTGACAGTGGAAAAATAAATAAACAATCAATCTTTTTTACTTTTTCTTTTCCCCTTGTGGTCCACTAAGGAGCTTAAAAATCATGGTAAAACATTAACATTTTGAACAACAACAGTTAACAATCTAAATGGAACAAAAAAAGGCTACAAAGAATCAATGACAATGTGAGCAAATAATGGTAATTATTGTTAATCTTTTTTCAAACTAATACGATTTCCCTCCACACACGCAGGCTGTGCTTGAGTGGTTCCTCTTCATATTGGTCAAGGTTCTCTATGGCAGGTTCAGCAACTGAGGGTACTGACTTCGTGATCAACCTGCGCCGTCAATCCCTGCACATGCGCGCGGTTCATTTGCAGTCTGAAAGCTGAAGGTAAACATGCTGTGGCTCTGACTGCAGCGCTGAGGGGGACTCCTGCGGAAGCGGGAGAACGGGGTTGGGACGCGGGAGGCGCCCCACGGCAGACACCAGGAAAGTCGCTAGATTTGTTGCTAGTTGCTGTTTTGAAAAAGAGTCGCTGCAGGGGTCTGAAAAGTCGCTAAATATAGCGACAAAGTCGCTGAGTTGGCAACACTGTCTCCTGGTCAGACCCTGTAATTCAGGCCAGTGGCTGGAAGTTGAAGGGGATTTTGCTGGGAGCTTTGGGGAAGTGGTCTGCCATTCGGCTGGCTTTTGACTGGGAAGGGCCATTTTGATTGGCTGCTATTGTGATTGTAACATCTATCAAGAATTATATAAAACCCAACTAACCTGTGTTCCTGCTTTAAAGTCAAAACCTACCTGGACCTATTAATGAGTATCTTCCATCAGGCTAACTGGTTAGCAATACAAGCTGATAATGTTTCCAATGGGACAACATCTTCACCAAAAATGGGTTGACCACCATTCCTGCATTTTAAACCAGATGCAACAGATCTAAGAGTCACTTGTAGCGATCACAAATATTTGTCTTCCCTGGTAGTGATGTTAGTATGCTGTGAGAAATGGGGTGAAACATCTCGAGGCTCCATTTGATGAATAGGACCAATTATAATAAATGCGTCAAAAGTGTCAGTGAAAAAATTTATTTTTTGGAAAAATGTATGTTTATTTCTAATAGTTAAAGGAATAGTACACCCAAAACATGATTAGCCTTCATTTTCTACTCACCCCC